AATGAGGTGTGTGGCCAAGCAGTTATTTTGGGGTAATGCAGAGATGTGGCCTGTGCTTACTCTATAAAAGCAAGAAACAGGTTTCCTACCAAAGATAGTCAGTTTATGCTAAAGACTGAAGTGAAATTTTCTTGATGTGGGCACTAGAGTCTGTGTCATAGACACACCATAGAGATGGCATTTCCAAACTGAGCTTTCTAAGCCAAAGATGCTACTGGCAGTGGTGCTAAAGTATGTTTAAATTCAGTTTTTAATTAAGAATATTAAGTTTAAGTAGTTCAAGAATGGAAGAAAGCATGGAGAGAGTCAATATTTTTATGTTGAAGGAAAATTGAAGGCGTAAATTTGTTAGCCGATAGCACCAAGTTTCACTGCTGACTTGGGGCTGCCTGGGTGCTTCTCATGTGGTTCACATTGAGAACCAGATTGGCTGGGATTTTTGTGTTGTGATCTTGGGTGAATGTTTTTCGCTGTCACTGTGAGTCTTGAATCAGATATATTTCGTGTGATAACAAGAAATGGCATTTTGTGTGAGGGGACTGATGTGGTGCACATGCACAGCAGCTGGGCTGGAGAAGAGCTTGGTGTGCAGCAGTTTTGGGGCCAAATCCAGTGCTGGCAGTAGTGCAGTGCAGAGGGGTGAACTGGAGCAGGGCTATGCACATGTAAGTGCAGTACAGGAATTCCTAGAGGTTCTCCAATCCCAGAGCACATCACTGGCACTGGACCATGTCTTGCCATTGAGGACATTCAGAAATCCTGCTAAGGCAGGGTCCTCTATGTCAAATCCCTCCTTGGCCCCTCTGGTTTTCCAGTCTGAGGTATCTGCAGGCTCACTGAGCTGGGTTCCCATTTCTAACCCCCTGTGGGACAGCTGCCCTTCTATCCTTGACAAAGCTCTTCCTTTTGGCAAGAAACAAAATGCAGCATCCTTACAGCAGAATGAGTTTTGAATTTCTGCAGGTTGCACCAAAGCCATATTTAACGTCCACCATCTGTCTTTACCACTTCTGCCTTTCTTTATGTGTGTTTTTTATTATTTTTTTTTTCTTTGCTTCCTGGCTTCCAGTCCTCTTGGTAATGTGTTCAGCATGGGCTATTAATATATCCCAACAGGAGCAACCGTACTTATGTTTTCCTTTTGGAGTAAGGATTAGGGAATATCCTTTAGCCCTTCTTTTTCTGCCCCACACTTTTTTTTTTTTTTCTTTTTTTTTTTTTTTTTTTCCATCCTTCTCCTTCAGAACTGAACTCCATAGACTCATGAGTTTTTGCAGGGGCAGAGGGGCCTGAAGGCTGCAAACCGGTGGTCCGGTCTTTAGATGCTGTGGTTTTTTTCCCAGGTCCCTTGGGGTGGGAGGAGACCTGGAAGTTGATGACACTTTTTGTGGTTGGTGGATGTTTCATGGCCTGCATCCAGCTCTGGGGTCCTCAGCACAGGAGAGACAAGGAGCTGCTGGAGCCAGCCCAGAGGAGGCCACGCAGCTGCTGCCAGGGCTGGAGCCCCTCTGCTCTGGAGCCAGCCTGGGAGAGCTGGGGCTGCTCCCCTGCACAAGAGAAGGCTCCAGGGAGAGCTGAGAGCCCCTGGCAGGGCCTAAAGGGGCTCCAGGAGAGCTGCCCAGGGACTGGGGACAAGGCCTGCAGGGACAGCACACAGGCAATGGCTTCCCAGTGCCAGAGGGCAGGCCCAGCTGGGATATTGGGAAGGAATTGCTGGCTGGGAGGGTGGGCAGGCCCTGGCACAGGGTGCCCAGAGCAGCTGGGGCTGCCCCTGGATCCCTGCAGTGTCCAAGGCCAGGCTGGACAGGGCTTGGAGCAGCCTGGGACACTGGAAGCTGTCCCTGCCATGGCCCTTCTAACCCACTCCATTCTGTGATTCTGTGAGCTGTGCAATTATGAAGTAGAGTGCAGATTAGTACAAAGGGCTTTTTTTTAAAATAAGCATTGTTTTGCCATACCTGTCCAGCCAGATATTCACAAAAATGCCTCAAGGAGAAAGAGAGATGGCATTCACCATCAGCTGGGGATCTGTAAAACACCATGTATCATGAGATTGTCAGTGAAGCCATGACTCTGGCAAAGCTCGGCAGAGGAATTTTGCTGGGGCTCGTGGTTTCCTTGTCTCGCTGGATAAAATAAAACCTGCCAAAGCAGCGGCAGTGAGCTCCCATCTATCTGTTCTCATACTCCCAGTCGCTTCTGCCTGAATTATTCATGCTCCGTAAGTGATCTGCAAACAGCTCCTGTGATCTCCCTGTGATCTGAGGGTATGCCAGACTCACCCCTCCTTAGGTCAGGGCATTTTCTTGTTTCCTTCCCCGCGGCAGGGAGTCTGTGGGAATCTCCAGATTCCTCACTGCCTCTTTCTGATTAACCCAGACGTGTATTTATTATTTACGTGGCAGGATTTGTTCAGCTGTCCCAGGCACAGGGTATTATCAGTGGATAAGCAGGAAGACTCACTGCAAACATCTGTAGTTGTTGCTTGACAAATCCTGTTTGTATAAATAATATTAAGGAGCTGCAGAGGCTGCTGTAGAGTAAATACCCTTGTGACTGAAGGCAGCACTGCCAGCTTTTCACCTGAATGTGCATCTCAATAGAGATTCACTGGGCTGTTTTACACACACGTATGTATACACACATATATATATATATATACATACATATAAAATACTTCAGTTTATTTTTTTAGTTTAAAGGTCCCTTCCAACCCAAATTATTCTGCGTTTCTAATCTCTGTGTGTATATGTTTTATGTATTTGCCTTTCTTCCCCCACAAGCTCTTCTCCTGTATTTATTTCTGCTTTTAATTTTTTTTCTACTGATTTGGTCATGGAAATTGGCAAAACCAGTGAGAAGAGCAGTTTATGGGCAGGTGATTGGCAGTAATTCAGTGTGCTCTGCTATCCGTATCATTAATGAAATGGGCTGTATGCCCACCTCTTCCACCTCACCCACCCGAGGTACATCTTGGATTTGCCTCTCCAGGATCATCTACTTCAACCACTCTTTATTTTGGGATGAGGACTGGGATGCTTCAGGAACCCACTGCCAGCAGAGCTGCAGCTAATGCTATGAGCCAAAGACATGGGACCCCCTGGTTCCCTTCTCCAGCTGAGGCAGTAATTTGGGATGAAAAACGCTCCATTTAGGCTACCTGCTTTTTTACACTAACCCGTAGGAGGACCTGTGCCTTGCTTAGGATATCCCTCACCTATGACATAACCGGGATACAGTGAGTTTGTTAAAATGTCCTGTCTCTCTGCATTCTGGAAAGAAGATTTTCTATTAAACCTTAGGGAAATTACTGGCCTTGTTAACTAGTGTGGAAGTAATGAACCACAGCAGGGTGACTCGGGAGATTTGGGCCCTCGCTTCGTAAGACTGCATTGTTTCTTCAAATGAGAGAAATAATTTAAGCAAACAAACGAACAAAGAATTTCTGGAAACTAAAGTACGGTACAAATGGGATGATTTGCTCATCCTCTGTTTAATAGGAGTGATGCAGTGAACAATTGTGTGGTCGACCTCAGAAATCTATCCATGGTAACTAGTCACAGGAGAGAAAAATAGACAGCCTGCCACCAACTTGGTATTAAAGTTCTATTTTCCATTTTTTCCATGGTTGCGGGCCAGTCAGGGACTTTCCATGAGCAATCAGCACAGCAGAAATCCCCTTCTGCTCCCTAGCAGCCATCTCTGCTCAACAATCAAAGGTGCTTTTTGTACTGGTTTTGGCTCAGGTGGGGTTTGGTCCCAGTTTTCAGTGAGATCAGGCTGGGGCAGACCCTTCCTGCCAAATGCATCCTGCAGAAACAGGGCTGTCATAGAGTCACAGAATGGTTTATGTCGAGAGGGACCTCTCAACCATCCAGTTCCACCTCCTGCCATGGGCAGGGACACCTTCCACCTGACTGCCTTGTTCCAACTTGGCCTTGCCCCTTCTACCCCGTGGTCAAGGTGTGTTTGTCCTGGGGTCTGGTGAAGAAACCTCGCCTTTGGTTTTGTCACCTCTACCAGGTGCTGGGTGTTGAATTCCTGATGGGGTTTTTTGAGGTCTGTGCAAGCCCTGCACAACCCCCTTGGCTTTGGGCAGGTCCTGCAAGAGCCCAGAGGAAGGACAGGAAGACTCTGCCAGTCAGGAGTTCAGAAATAAATACAGCAGAAATACTGGGCCTTCAGGCTCGATGGTGTGTTCCTCAAAAGACAATTTTGGAAGGGATCACTGTGCTTTTGTTCTTCCATTAGGCAGCTGAGGAGAGAGCATTGTTTTCCTCCCCTCATCTGTTCCCCTTGTAGGGGAAGAAGGAGGACTTGGCCACCCTGAGCCGAGCATCCCAGGGGATCTCCCAAAACAAAGGGCTGTGTGGAGGAGGATACCGTCATCCTGTCCCCGTCATCCCCTTCCCTCCCTTCACCCTGCCCTTGGCACAGCCGTACCCACCCGGGGCTGGCACACTGGGGAGCACGGGGAGGGGAATGTTCCTTGTCTTCCTCCCTGGAAACCCAGCTAACTTCTCTTACCTCCAGGTTTACTGCTGCCTGTAGGCTTGGCAAGGCAACCCTGGGGTTTGTCTTCTGCTGGGAAGGTGTGTGGGTCCTGGGATGGTGTGGCAATGTGACATGTGCAGGTGTGGTGGCTTGGGTAACGCAGCGCTCCTGGGGAATGTCGTGTAGCTGTTTCTGGATGTGGATTGGAGCTCTGTGGACACATCCCAGTGTAATTTCTGTCCTGTGTGCTGCAAGCATCCGTCCTGATCTGCAGAGAAGGCCTGTGGGTTGGAGAGCATCTCCTCAGCCACGCTCTGCGTGACCCTTGAGTTGGTTCCCCCTACAGAAAAATGTGGCTGGCACATGGAGCTGGAATGGTTTTGGGTTTATTTTTTTAAATCATAGGTTGTCTAGGTTTATATGCAAATAACTGGACTAACACCAACCTGTCTTGTTTCACCTAGGCTCCAAGCCTGACCCTGCTGAGAGCCCCTGAGATACTGAACTCTATGAGCGGAGATCACTTGACTGCACTCAGCACCTTTCAGGATCAGGCTCTAGGTAATTATTCTAATTCTCTGCCTGGATGATAGGGGAAATTTGCTGTTTTGGGCTGTACAGACCATCTGAAATGACATTCCTAGTATTTTGCCCCATGAACCTGTGAATTTTTTTTTCCTGCTGGAGGCTGCCAGTCTTGGTCAGTGGCTGGGCACTACAATAAAACCACTGATCCCTCAAACATAAAGCAAAATACCAGCCTTGCTTCCAGAGGGGGAATCATGGTGTGGTTGAAGGAACCCTAAAGACCATCTAATCTATGCCCCTTGTAATGGGATGTATTCAACTAGACCAGGCTCCTCGGAGTCCCATCCAACTTGAATATTTCCAGGGGTGAAGCATCTTGGAATTGCTGGATCGCCATTCTCGTAATGGTCACCAGCTCTTGTGCTTGGGAGGTTCTCCTGAATTTAACTTGCAGAGGGCTGTAAAAACAAGCAATCAATATCAAAAAAAGGTATTGACTCCCATCAAAAGCAGTCAAAGGCTTAAAATACCAATATTTGTTGGCAAGGTTGTTAGTTCAGATCAGGCTTTTAAAAATTGCTCAGAAACCTACAGCTGCAGGAGCCTGCTTTTTAAAATAAACCCAGCATCTTATTTGTCTGGTTTTACAGTAGCTTCATCTCTCCTCCAGACCTGGCCTCACTGTTGTGCCTTTGAGGAACTTTAAATCCTTGCTCCAGGATGGATAGATGGAAATCAAAGAGCCTGGGGCCTGGCATTGTCCTGCTCTGCATCTTCATGGAAATATGTCAGCTTGCTGCCTTGCCTGGGGTGTGTGGGTAGGATTAGACCCAAGATTTGTGCTTTTATCCCAGCAAAGCCAGCTCAAGCACAGAGCATGAGCTCGGGAGGTGAGGATCTCAGGGATGGGTTTTAAGAGGAGTAAGAAGGAAGCCAGCAGGGTGCTGTGGATGTTACTGTGAAGCACTAAGGATGAAGGATTTCCTGTAGGACTGACTTCCTGAGTGAGATGACATTCTGTACAAAATTCTCCACACTGACAGAAGTATCAGTCAATAGAGGGTTATAATTTTTAACCTGATTTGCTGCATTTTTCCCCAAGTCAATAAGAAATGGCTCCACACTGATTTCAGCAGAGGTTAAAGCCCAGCTCTCAGATCAGAGTGGCACGAGGGCAGAGCGTCTCTCTGCCCACTCTCCCAGGGCATCTTCTGTCCCTGCAGGACCAGAGGGCTTTTCTCCATCCCTTGCAGCTCTGTGTGCTGACATTTTTCAGGACCGAGGCAGGAGGGCATTGACTGGGTTGTTTCCTGTTTTGTCAATATCCATTTCAAAACCTCTGTAACACAGCTTTGTGCAGGGAATTAGAACACCACATCCCATGTCCTCCTCCCTTGAATATTGCATTGGGGAGCTAAGCTCATGTTTCCAGTGGGGAGGGATAATACACAGGTCATAAAGCAGGCTCAGAAAGTGAAAGAGAGGAAAATGAAGAATGAGAAAAAAGAAATACGTTCACCACCAGGGCTGCAGTGCAATGTTTTTCGTATCCACTCAGAATTTGTGGGAATGGGGTTCTCCCTTGGTGCCAAAAGTCATATGCTTTGTGTTTGAACTGCTGCTGTCAAAGCTTGGAGAATAACTAAAACAAAAAGGTCGCAGGTCAAGTAGATGTTTTCCGATTGACCGGAGCTCAGTATAAATCCTAGGGAAGGAAATAACCCAGCAAACATCCACCAGTCCCATGTCTGTGTCCCCTGCTCTGGTGCTGGCTGCTCGTGGCAGGTTCTACTGGGACGTGCCAGTGTCAGGCAGCTGCCTCAGCACCCCCAAACAGTCCTCAGGCAAGCATCCCCTCCCCAACAAATTTTTGTGCAGATTTCAAATGCAACAGAATTGGATCCAGATTTGATCTAGGTCAGCATTTAGGAGGGTCAAGAGGTTGCTTCAGCTGAGCATGGAAGGTGAGAAAACACCTGCCTGTGAGGAACCTGGGCTGGAGGCTCATCCTAAGCCCCTGAAACACATCTTCAGCCGATGGCTGGTGTTTGCAGCTCTAAATTCAGCAGTTTTGGGTAGGCAACACTCCAGGGGAACATCAAGGCAAATGTGTCTCTGCCATCAGTTTGCATCGCCCCTCGCAAAGTCCCCCCTGAGGTTTTGGCATGGCCAATTGCTCTTCCCTGAGCTGTAACCTGAAAACAGGGATAGATAAAGGCAAAGTGTTCTGGGAGCCATGCCAAGCCAAAGGCACCGAGTTGTTACGAGATCCGTATCTCGATAACAGATTTTTTTGCTCTTTATCAGCTTTTAAGAGAAAATATGGTGTTTCCATGAGCAGATTGGGATCATCCTGAGGAATGGAGCTCTCCTTTTAAAATTGTATTGCTTTTATTACTATTATTTTAATATTAATAATAATATTTCCGCAGTGAAGCCATATATGAGAATGTTATTTGTGTAGGAACTGGAAATGAACCTGAAATGATCAGCGTATTTTTTAAAAGCACTTTACAAGTCATTTGGCTTTGGAAAAAGTACAACTATCCATCAAAGCAAGGCTTGGGGATAAAATAATTAGAAATCACACAACCATAGCAAAGGAAGATTAGTGCTAAAATTAGAAGCCATAAAGTTGTTTTTAGATTAGGCTGGAATCTGGGCAGGCTGCTTTATTCTAGCCTGTTACTTTAAAAAATACTTTACTCACTTTAAAAGGTGAGAGGTGTGAATTGTCTGCATTTGGTCATATCCCAGTGGAGCTGTTGTGAATGTTAGGTGGGATAATCTATGAGGTGAATTTCAGGGAAATCCTTTAGGGGATGGAAGTACAGTCCCATGTGACCAGCTGCTAAGGGGCTGGGTTCAGTGTTGAGCTCAGCCCACAAGGGTGTCCCCATAAATTTGGTTTGGGAATTTGGCCCTAGTTTTGTTTCAGAGTTGTGGTGGCCAAATACTCACATTGCATCCAGAAAAGGTGGTGGTTTGGCTGGAATTGGGAATTTAAATTGGAATTTCCACCCACAGGTGGGATGGGTGTGAGTTAGAGCTGCTGTGGTCCCCAGACCTGAGCTGTGCCCTTGGGGGCAGACAGTGACATCAGATGGGCACAGCCCATGGAGCTTCATCACTTTGTTTTTCTGCTGGACCTCCTCAAACACGAGTAGGAATGAATCCTCTATCAGAGACAAACACAAAATTGATCAGAGGTCAGATGAGGAGAGCTGGGGCTGCTCCCCTGCACAAGAGAAGGCTCCAGGGAGAGCTGAGAGCCCCTGGCAGGGCCTAAAGGGGCTCCACGAGAGCTGCCCAGGGAGTGGGGATGAGGCAGAGAGAGACAGGACAAAAGGGAATCGTTTTACAGCAACAGGGGAGATCCAGACTAGATTGAAGGAAGAAAATTCTTGTGATAAGGGTGGTGGGGCTGTGGCACAGGGTGCCCAGAGAAGTGGATGTTCCATGTATAAATCCCTTCAGGAAAAAGGGTCTTGATACTAAAGCCCTTCTGGTATAGCTGGAAGGGTGTAACACGAGCAAGAGGCTGGAGGACAAGGTCAGGCACATCCAAGTGTTTTCACTGAGGAAGATGCCAGGTAGAGATCCCTTTGCTCAGAGAAAGGTGACTTCTTCAGGTTTGATGCCTTTAGATTTGGAGTGGGGGATTTGTGGGATAGAAACCTGAACTTTGTGGGATGTGCTGCCTAAATATGGGTACAATTAGGTGTACCTCTTCCCCTGGTCCCAGCAGAGGTACCAAATGAAAGTATCTCAGGTTACCTGCTGTCTGGGAAGCACCAGGCCTGTTGTGACCACCCACAGCATCTTTCCTGCACTTGTATTTCCCGGTGCCTACAGGGGAAAAGTGGAGTTGAGCAGACTGCGTGCTCCCCCCAGAAAGCTCCTGCTGTGCCTCCAGCTCAGTGAAAGCAGGACAACTCCTCATCGACTCTTTGTAGCCCGAGAACAGAGCCTTGGAAAAGTCCGGCAGCGGGAACTTTACTAATTCCAGCTAATGACTCCGAAATACTGACTGAGGGGAACAATTGCACATCATCAAAAGTCACAGACAAAAGAAATGCACTGCATTGTAATAGCAAACGAAGCTGAATTTGATCTGATGAAGCACCTTTCATATTCCAAGCGTTTCAAAGCCCTTGGCAGAGTAATGAGCTGCATGCTGACAGCGGGGCTGCTGGACTGGGCTTTATGTGACCAACAATAGCCAGCACAGTTGCTGGCAGAGGACTGCTCATGGTGGGAGAAGGGATGGATGGTAGCTGGCATGTTGGGGTTATCCTGTGCTTTCCTGGCTTTTTTTAGTGCTGTTGGATCTCTGACTAGCGTTTTGATGGGCACTGGAGGTGACCAGGCAAGAAACGTTGGTCTTTCTTAAAGGGGGCCTGGAAGAAAGATGTAGACAGTTTTTAGTAGGGCCTATAGTGAGAGGACAAGGGTTGATGGTTTTAAATTAAAATCAGGGAGATTCAGACTAGGAATGATGAAGAAGGTCTTTATGATGAGGGTGGGCAGGCCCTGGCACAGGGTACCCAGAGCAGCTGTGGCTCATGGAAGTGTCCAAGGCCAGGTTGGACACTGGGGCTTGGAGCAGCCTGGGATGGTGGAAGGTGTCCCTGCCCACAGCAGGGGGTTGGAACAGGATATTAAGGTCCCTTCAATCCTAACCATCTCAGGATTCTTATTAAAGAGGGGTGGAGAAACATGTTAGGAAGCACATGAGGATGCCTTGGTGCAGCTGAAAATAGACCTCGGCCTCCCAGGTCACCATCCGGCCCTCTCATCTTGCGGTCCCCATGACAGTTTCATGAAGGCCCACATACAACTTCAGCTCTTTAATTTTAGCTAAGCCAGAATAGCATTGGTGCAGCTGTGGGAGCAGATATCTTAGTCCTCAGACTATTTCTGTGGCAGAGAAATTTCTTGCCTGCTGCGAGGAGAGGAAAAGGTTAATTGCATATTTTTTTTTCCTTTTTTCTTTCCTTTTTTTTCCAAAGAGGAAATAAATGTACCTACCC